CTAACAGAACTCCATTCAAAGTAGCTTTAAAGATAAATTTGACACTTAAAGAAAAAGGGCGGGGGGGGCGGTATGTGAAACTGCAAATGAAATCTGGCCAGTACTTCTGGTCTTATTATTAATACATGATACCGTAGTTGTTTTATGTGTTAGGAAGACTCCTTGTGACATCTTGGAAATCCCAAATAAAACATGATTTCCCCCTGTACTTACAAGAGGACTGTATGTACTCAGATGCTGTGGGCTGCGTTCTTTGCTTTTCCAAACTCTTAATCAATCTGCATCAGAGCTTATAAACATAAAGTGCTGCTGAATCAGAACAGTCTTACCTAACAGTCATAGTGCTCTGACTTTTCACAGGCAGAAATAACTTCACATAACACAGGATGCCCCGGAATCAGTCTGTGGTATTAACATTTCTGTTTATATTAATAAAAGCTGTATTTTGTATTGCATTATATTTATTTAACCTTTGACATCTAAGCTTCGGGTCAGTTTGCTCTTTATAACTGCATTTCTTCTTCAGCTTTGTTTCTATATTTAGAGAACTCATGCTCAGAAACAAGACTTTTTGTTTAATTTTTTTCCCCTAGTATATTTAATCTAGCTCAGGGGTTTTGGTGTTTCTCTGCAACCTATAATTTTCTCTGCCAGCTCAGATACTGTATTGCTGCTTTTACCACAGTTAAAGAAACTCTGTAAAGTCCTTTTCAAAGGTTTTTTTAGCCTTCAGCATGTTCTTCACTATCTCATATGCAGTCCATGTGTAATAAAATGTAGCCATTTTTACTGCAAATAATATTATTTTTCTCTCTGTCTCTTCTCCCATCATTTTTCCTCTACCATCATTTTTGGCAGTGGAGCTGAAACAAATATACCCTTCACTGACAATCCAGTATACAACTATCTGGATGTCAGCAGGAATGCAGAGAGCTCTAAGAATAGCACATTTGGTTCCTAAAGTGCAAGTGGATCTCAGAAATGAACAGCATGTCCCACCCAAACAATAGCTGTTTATTAGTTACATCCCCCCCAACAAAACAACCTTTTAAGCCATGGTTTGGTTTTCAACATTTTACACACAGAGCAGTGGGCAATGCTGCCCTCCTTCCCAAGACTCAAATTTTAACTCAGACAAACTTAGGCTTGGAAAGGTAATAGTCACCCAAAGGGTTTCTTTTATTCCATCCTGACTTAAACTGAAGAGATCAACGGCTCATTTTCCTGCCTTCACGGGAACCCTCCTTTCCATTCGCAAAGACCTGTGTCTGTTCTTATATTGAAGGAAGTAAAAAAGAGCTGTTCTGGAAACAGTGATATTGTATCAGCACTGCTGAAGGCAGAATTGAGCCCAATATATCTGACATGCCAGAATAGGAGATCTGCAAGTACAAACTGTATTTAGACATGAAAATCGGGAAGATGCCCAACTATTCAACCTGCCTGGGCAAATGCAGCTTTTCATGCACCCAGAAACAGCCCATAAAGTCAAGTGGCTAAGCTTAAGCCCAGAAAACAGTGTGTGATAGTGCTGGAGACTATCTTGGACTCTCTGGCATTTACTACCATCTTTATATTGTGGATTTATGAGTTCAGACCTTTGAGTATAATTTCACTCAGCAAGCAACAGTCCTACATGAGTAAAATGAAAACCTGCATATATCCACAAGAGCAATGTTAGCACCATCAGGCTTTGCAATATCGCACAATGCAAACTGTCAGTGCCTCAATCAATATCCATCAATGCTCAACAATAAAGACATAGAGCTTCAGATGGGAAAAGATTAGCCCTTATCAGATTTACCAGTTGTCCAGGCAATACAGGATCTGGGATGCAGACTGATTACACTTAAGAGATATATTGTTAAGTATGAAAAGGGTAGAGCTGTGAGGTGCCAGTAGTAACCCAGCTTTTGGAGTGTGGAGCCTTTGCTTTAGTATACATTGAAACAACAGCAAAAAGCTCACTCTGGGTCTATGTCCCAGCCGCTGCTCTCTTCCCCATGTTGCTCTGCCTGCTACAAGGATCAAATTTCATGGTTTATTGTTCTCCCTCCAACTGGCCACCATCCACATTCTTCTTCTGTACAAAGCTGCACCTCTTGCTCAAAAGAAGAGAGTACTATGCCTTCTTTTTATAAATTTCAGTCACATTTACAAACACACACACACACAGTAAGAGGATGACTTTTAAACACTAAACATTTCAGGGAATGCTGTTATTTTTCTTTGAGCAAATTTCTGTGAATGAGGCTAAAAAAGACAATTTTCCACCAGAAGGTTACTGATTTTTGAAGATGCAGAAGTCTCTCCTGTCTTCTCAATCTTTAACATTTTGCCTTTTAATGAAACAACTGCTCTGTGCTTGAAAAGTCCTATTCATCACCTGCCTCAGGAGAGAATTGGCACTGAGATCCTTCAAAGCTCAAATTCAGCTCTGGGTACAATGCTGGCAATCAAAACCACACTCAGTGGAGCTACTTCACTATAATGGAGTAAACTGGTACACAGCATGCTGGGTCCAAAATTTCAGTATCAGTATCTCAATGTAAATGTGAAATCTATTGCAAACAAAGAACAGATCTACATACTAGATTCAAAGAAATGTAGCAAGTTTATCAGAATTTTAAGGATTCCTAAGCAAAATATTTTTTCCATGTAATTTTTCTTTTAATTCAGCACTTAGGATCCATTTTCTTCTATGAGATTTACAGTAAAATTATCAAAACCTAACCACATATTCAATTCCTGAACATCCACCATCTTTCTTCAGCAGCTCAACAGACTGTAAAACTGAAGCACTGTCATCTGGTGTATAATTATTGTAATAAGTCTTACTTGTAAAATGAGGGAGGCACCATAAGCTTACCTAACTAGTCTGAAAATGTAAAATGTAATCATTGTCTTAACTGCCCTTGATCTTTACTGATAGCCACCAGATTATAACAACTCTCTGTCCGACGGTTAGAATCAGCTAAAAATACAGCACAGGCAGAGCACTAGGAAAGTTGCTGGAAGAGGGGGTATTTTGGCTAATGAAAGAGACTCACTGCAGGAATTTTATTCCTCTTCTTTTCTTTTTTTTTTTTTTTTTTTTTTTTTTGGCTAATCAATGATGTAGTGGGTTCAGAGGTGTAAGACAAAAATGCAAAGCAGGGAAAACTAGGGCACAGGAAACCTCAGGAATCCAACAGGGACGTGGCAAGTCCACACACCCAGCGGCAGAGCCAGAAAAAAAAAATGCTCAAAGGTTATGGACATACGATCAAAAGCAATCGTGTTACTGCAGTTAACAACTTACTAGCCATCATCCGAGATGCAGTGAGACACCATGGATGTACTCTTCACACACTGCCTCCAGAGTAAACCAACTGATGGACAGTAATTCATGAAGCCACAGCAATTTACTCACTTTGAATTGTACATCCATCCATACCCCTAGATCCCAAGACAGCAAGACCCTCTGCTTCATGTTTAATTTGGGTCCCACTGAACACAAACAGGTTCCTCACGTGCTTAAAGCAACAGAATTGCTTCAGGCCTTCAGTGAATTAGGGGCCTTATATTGATGACCCTTCTAAATGAACTATATATGCCATTTCATTACTTGTTACTTATTTGGATAAGCAAATTCAGCAAAGTCACCAGTCGTTCCCAGCTGTCTGTTTTAAGCTACTGTATCGAAGCAAGGGAATACTGAGCATGCGTAACTTGGAAAAGAGTGAATCAATCCTAAAGTAGCACAGTGGACATGTATCTCATTGATTTACCACTAAGAAGCTGACTTTTAGTAACTACTCCCTTATTTCTCATTGCTATCATAGGACAAGGTTACACCAAACCACCTACATTGAAGAAATCTACCTCTTTAAGAACCAGTCACTTAGCAGAGAAAAAGATCAAAGAAACCCAGGCTCTGGAGTGTACTTCCCAGCTAAGCACAGCACTCTTGAGCAGATCCTAGCAGAGCTCCAGGGATCAATCTCTGGTTTGTTGGGTGAAAAGTGTTTCAAGCCTTCACGAGGAGTTGATTGAGTGCCTGTGTGCACAGCTAAGCAGCTTGAAGGATTCTGCTTCTGAAGTATTGGTTCAGCCTAACAAAGTACTTGGCTTTGGTGGTGAGGTTCAATGTTTCCTACAATTCTTCCTAACAAAAAGACAGCTATTTATTCTTCACACCCAGGCTGCTCTCAGACTGAGTCCCCAAGCCCTTCGCTGCTCTGAAGTCCCTGTTCACAGTGAATCTCTCTGATCTGGGATAGCAGAGGTTAGTGCTTCACACCTCTCCCTGAGTCTCAGGGAGAAGGGCTGCTGGGGAGAAATCAGGTCTGTGTCTCACTCCTGTCAGATGCATTTTTGCATTTACCAGCTAGCTTGGTAACACAGATCAACAAAGGGTGGGGAATGGCCCTCATCCAAAGCAGGGCATTGCTTCTGGCAAATGCAAATAACAGGTATTTCAAGTCTGCTTCTTTGCTATTTGGGAGCTGTACTGTTTGACCTGCTGTCCATGGAGTCATATTTTAACTTCACTTCTCACCCCACCTGGTCTTTTCTAGCTTCACAAGTATAACACAAATATTAATTTATTGACGGGCACTAAATAAATAAATAAATAAAAAGATATTCCCACTAGAAGGATGACGGGAAACATGTTACAAGAACATCTCTACAGCTTACAATATAAGCTAAATAAGAATACCACCTATACATGTAAAAATAATTTGTTTTAGTTGTATGAAATGTGTTTTGCATAATAGCACAAAGTTCTCCACTGGGCTGAAAGAGAAAATGCATGGTGGAATTATAGTACATTTCAACTAAAGAAATAATTACTCTGATAATGCCAGAATGTTGTTATTGCCTAGTCCATGTACACACTATCCACACCCCAGAAGTTTAGTGACGTCGCATTTGAAACACAAAGGAAAGTAAAAATAATAAAATAAATGACTCAGTATTTTCACATAAGCCCTATAAGACAGAAGAGGCATTCTCACCTGTCTGCTTTGAGATGGCAGTGTGGCAGGCTGCATGTGTCTCTGCATCCGATGTGGCTGTATCAGCTGTCGAAACTGCTGCTGGAGAAACTGGCTGCTGTTAGCCTGCTGGGACTGCTGCGTGGCTGGAGACTGCTGCTGCTGCTGCTGCTGCTGCTGGAGATAGTGAATGAGGGACTGCTGCCCTTGTCCTGCTGCCAGAGGTGACATCTTTTGAGTAGCTGACTCTGAGGCAAAGTGAGACAGTGGCTTGGTGTTATTGAAAGAAAACTGGTCTTGGCTAACAGGGCTCTCATTCACCAGACCTGGCTGTAAGCTACTGGATGGCTGCGGCATAATTATGTTCATATTTTTGGACTGGTTTGTAGTCATTGATTTAAAAAGCGAGGTCTGCATGCTTGTGGGGTTGCTGGTGGGAGTGATGTTAGAAATTAATGTACCTTGAGGACTGAAGGGCTGCTGATGAAGAGCTGGACTTGACAGCTTTTCTGGCCTGTACGGTGGAGAAGGTCCAGTATTTGTGGAGGCTATGTTGGCAACCAAGTTGTTCTGTGGACTTTTAATGTTGTTGGCTGGTAAGCTGGCTGCTGTCAGGGTGGGCAGCATGGAGCTCTGCGGGCTGAAGGGCTGCTGGTTCAGAGCTGGACTGGAGAGCTTCTCAGACCCATAAGGAGGAGAAGGGCCATTAGAAGGGGTGCTGCTGGAAGTCATGCTTGAAAGCAGAGTGTTTTGAGGACTCTGAATGTTGTTTCCTGGTAAATTATTAGCAGGCATGCCAGACACCATAACATTTTGAGGACTGAAAGGTTGATGGTGTGGGGATGATCCTGCCCTGTAAGGTGGAGAGAGACCAGGAGGAGACATAGTTGGCCAGCTGGGAGTCTGTACTTGTTGCTTAGTAGTAGACACCTGCTTGCTAGCTGCCAGTTGCTTTAGCTGCTGAGCGTGCCAGTTGGAGCCGGGTATGTTGGGTAAGGGTACTGGAAGCATAGGTGGTGGCTGGTTCTTGCTCTGAGCTGCTGTAGAGATGGGCGATGCAGCAGGTTTGTTTGAGGGAGGAACTTGGAAGTTAGCTCCAGCAGATGATGGTCTCATCTGAGGAGATCCTCCACTGGTTGGATTGCAGCCTGGAGAAAAATCTTTGTTAGCAACATGGTTCTCCAAGTGGGAAGTCTGTGGGGAGGACTTTGGAGTGGTACTTATGCTTGGCTGAGAATGACTCAGCCCAAGTGGCTCTTCAGCCTTGCTGCACAAAATCTTTTCCAGATCCAGGTCATTGGGAGAAGGATCAGGCATTTTCGTCAGCTCTTCCAATAGATCTTGCAGCTCTTGGTCCACAGACTGTAAGCTGTTTCCTTTCTCATCATAGTGGACAATGTTATTGTTTTGCCCTCCTATTGACCCCTTCTGATTTATTTCTGTGTTGGATGGCACTGAAAACGGGGAACCAATGCCACCACCATTCATGTGATTGTTTTCGAGGAGCACTGGGTGACCTGCGACTCCCAGGGAAGAAGCGCTGTGACTGGTGGAGAATGGAGAACTTTGTATTTCTGGACATGCCACACTGGGATTGGCACCTTGGCCCATGGCAAGGTTTACGTCGTCAAGACAAAGTCTTTTGCTATCGTTTGGGAAAATGACATCAGGCACACCACCGGAGGCAGGAGAGCTATCACCTTCCAGTTTTCTTTTAATGGATCCCTGTAACTGCAAATAAAAAAGGAAGAAGAAAGGATCTGTTATTGACCTTATTCTAACATGCTCTGAAGCTCCATACTGTAACACTGGGTTGGAGATAAAGAAAATGAAATAATACAATTAAAAAACCAATCATGTGAGACAAATTCAATCAGGATTTAAGTGGGTGCAACTTCATTGAAATCAAAAGAGTTATGGTCAGATAAAGGCTAAATCTCACATGTTAGCCTTAAAACAGATGTTAGAGCTATAAAATACTGTCTGTCATGTGAACTGTAATAGAAGTTTTTAAAATAGTTTCTGGTACCATTTCAATTAAGACATTATACTCCCTGCCTAACAAACATGCCAACATTTTTATGGTAACATTTTTTAGGTCTAAATGGCAGATCTGAATGAAACCCTGGTCTGAATTGAGTGACCTTCTGCCAGTGACTCAGATTAAATTCAGACCCGAGACAACTAAATTGTTTTACATTCTCTATAGGCAGAACATCTGAAATAACGGGCATACTTTATAAACAAGCCAAACCAAAACAAATCCTCAACTATCTGAACAGAATTTCAAGAGTCCTAATCACAGATGTTTCAGACTTCAGAAACACTAAATAACAGCTAAACCTCTTAATTTTTGTTTATTCTTCTAAGTCTAAGGAAGTATGAGTTTTGTTCTTTTGAAGGACTGCAACTCATTCATAAAAATGGAAATGTTTTCAAAATACAACTGTATAAATATCTTGATCTACAAGAAATGATAGAGTTGTAAATCTGCAAATCTCAGGGAAGAAAACCTGCTTTCTACATATAAAGGAAGTGAAACTGAAAACAATGCTTCTACTAATTCAACATGATATGGCAATCTCTTCCAAATATAATAATCTGTGGCTTTCAATTTTAACAAGCATGATCTGTATGTCACAGGATTAATCAGACATTAACATTGCTGCTTCAAGTTAAGGGAAATAAGCATTACGTCCTTGTTTATCAATAGAGGGAGATAACATTTAGAAAAGTATATAATCAGCAATGGGAAAACCATAGAAAGTCACTGTTCCTCTAAGCCCGCTCACAGTAAAGCCCCTCCCAGCTCTGGCTGACAAGTGCAAGCACTGCCAGTCATCTAGTACCATGAAAAAATTTCAAATCTAATAACAGCTCGTATCTCCAGAAAAAGCCCCACCACCTAACCCCAGCGTAACCAGATCCACTCTAGGGCTGTGGTGGGTATGATGACCTTCTAAATTTTACACTAATTATTAAGCACATCACAGTTTTGCCTGAGAGTCACTATGCAATGGCCAACAACTTTGGTGCTCTGAGACAAGTGTCACAGGACCATCACTGTAGGGTGTGCGGAGGCTGCAGGGCACATGAAGGTCAGTGTGCAAATGGCCAATGTCCACCCCTAAATTCAGCCTGTCTTCAGGCAGTCAACCACGAAAATGCATTGTTCTGACCTGGGAACATAGGAGAGCTGCCCGGTGGCTCACGCAGCTGGACTCACACAACTGCTCTCTTGTCACTTATTTCTAAATTGGTGGGCAGAGAGAAGATTGCAGATTTGTGCCTACAGCTGCTTACACTATAAATGTAGTTTAGGATTACTATTGTATGTTGCCCTGCTAGCATACAGCTTACACAGACATTTGGAGGTGAGAGGATGCAAGTTAAATGTACATGGTCATCATGGCAGATGGAAAAGCAGACCTGCATACTACGGAGAGCTGCTGATCAGGAATTAGGAGTTCACCTACCCTCCATCAACAGGCACAGCAGTTTTGAATGGCATTGTGGCAAAGAGACCTTTTCAAATGGATATTTTGCTCTTACACTCTAAGAGGTATCCCTTACTAGAGCAATCAGTGCTTCTCTCCTGTGATCTCCAGTTGCATTGCTTGAATGTGGGTTGCACTCATAAAACCACTGGCAAGTGAGAACTGACACTAAGCGGGAAGATGTGTCTTCAGTGCACCACTCACTGGTTACCTGACAGCCCTCGCTGGTCAGCAGTGCTACGCGTGCTTTGCATCGTTGCTCTGCAAGAGACTGTCTTTACATCACAGCCGGAGACAGCTGAAGCATCAGTGATTTGATTATTCCTCTGGGCTGGCCAAAATTTGCTTAGCTTTAGGAAATGGAACAAGGCCAAAATCTTCTCCCAAGTGTTGGTCTAATGATGGATGAAATTGTTTTTCTTCATTTTCTTTGATAAAACTAAGCCAGAGTTGCATGTTTCAACACATGTTGCCCTGTGTAGGCTGAAACATGTTGGTAGAGCATAACTACATGTATTTAAACCCAGACATGTATAGAGAATATTTACAGGGGCTTCACACATCCAAAACAAACACAGTGTGTTCCCAAGTTGCACCCTGGGAACCCTCAGGCAGGAAGTGGTGGGGGATCTCCCATACTTGGCCAGCTGACATGCTGGCATGCGTGTCCTTGCCAGTGCTTCTTTTGCCATAGGACATTCCTATGCTCTGAGTTACTGGGGAAAAATTTGGGCTTTCTAAACACTTTGAAAAATAGTTTTTTAACTGTTGCACTGGGGAGTAAATGTGATGGGAAAACAAAACTCCATTTCCCCAAGATTATTATTAGATATAAACAGATAAAATAAGGCCATAGCTTTCAGATGGCGTGGGCATTCTAAAACTGGGACAGGATTTTTAAATAGGATGCTCTTGCTTAGCCCTTGTGAGAAGCCTGGCTGTAAAAGAGGAAGTGAAATTAGCTGGGTGTCATGTTGTCTTGAAAAGCAAGACTCCTGTTTCCCAGGTGAGTATTTGCACCAGGACCATAAAATCCAGAAGACCAATTTCCCCCAGTGAAGGCAGGTATAACTTCACACAATTTATTAGCATTGCTTTTGCTTAAGATAGACTATATCCCCAAATTTGAGAGAGAAAGATACTGTCGTTAAAGCAACTAAACAAATCATAAAATAATTTTGGTTAGAAGGGACACCTGGGTGTCATCAGCCCCCTGCGTCAAGCACATCACAAATGAAAAAAAAAAATAGATGACTATTTCACCAGGCACTTGAGTATAAACTATTAACTACATACAGAAACCCCTTCCTGGGCTGGACGGGCTAGCTGAAAGGTTCGTTTCAGTATTCCTCACTGAAACACAGGTGGTTGTTACTCCCGCACAGCGTGATCCATGCTGGTGCTGGCTGTGAGGAGTCAGCAATTTTCCCCCCAGCTCCCAGTGACTGCTCTCCATGAATGTGCCACTGTGGCTGCCCTGAGCAGTGCAGGGGAACAATGATGCAGTTCCGTATTACGGGGACACTGGCTGAGTCGGTCATGCTAACAACAGTGGCAGGGGATAATCACGGAGGCACTACAACTTTTAGGACCAAGAGCTCCTGATCGAACTAATTCAGGAAGCTGCTTGTTGCAGATCATTCACCTAGTACTCTCAGATGTCTCACAACCATCTCTTTAAAGCCCATCTATCCTTTTCTAGACTCTTCCCTTACTAAAAACATTTTTACTGCCCATTTTCTTCATCTGGACCTGGAATCCCCAGGAAGGAGCTGATTTATTCCAACTCTTTCTCCTGTCCTTTGAGAGGGATTATGCTATTTGACAAAATCAACAGAAACAAGAGCAGCACCAAAATATGTTATTCCCCTTTCTCTGCTGATTAGTGTATTGGTCAGCTCTGTTTCAAACTGAATACCTGAGAAATCAATAGAAATATTTTAAAAACACACACACGCACACACTTAAGCTGGCTGAAGGCTGCCGTGGCTAAGTATGGGAAAGCTTCATTCATATGTGCAAGCAAGGATGAAGCAGATAAGCAACAAAGGGGTTCTTGCGACCTTGTCAAAATTCATTAAAATGCATTAGCATGCACAGGCTAAGTTCTGCTTGGGGATACCTGGGAAACAAAGGCAGGCCCTCCAATTTGGGGAATATCCAATTATGAGTTCTCCATTATCTCAGGTTTGCTTTTAGAAGCGAGAGTGCCATGATCCCAGGACTACTGTTCTCTCAAAACCAACAGGCTGTCTTTCTGGGAAAGACTCAAGTTACAAGCAAGTATCACTGCTAGCTCGCAATGGCAGTATAACAAGAATAAATAATAACTATTTACTGTGACCCATCCAAGGAAGCTATACAGCTGTGGCTACAAACATCTAATTTGTCACACGCTACCTCCTCACACAGAACTGATTCTCTGCGTGTGGGCAGAGCGCTCCACAGGCTTCTCTTGTGCAAGGAAGAGAAGGTGGACTCGGCAAGCGAAACTAGTCCTCAGCTGCACCCTCTCCTAGATTGAGCTCCCTGAAGTTGCCTGCTCAGGTGACTTTTAGTTCCAGGCAGTTTCCAAACTTAGGAGGTAGTGCTGGCCTTGAGTAACTGACTATTTCTCAATGAAGGGACAAAGGAAGGCTGGAAGTGGCAAAAACTGAAGCAGAGAGAACAAATCGCTAATAAATACACACTGTGGTGGTTCCACTGGATTTTAATAACCAACTGAATGGGCATTTCTGGACTGGCTCCCTGCTTTGCTGTCACTCAGCCTTCCTCCTTTCTTTAGTACATCAGCTGTCCTCAGTTGCCACTCCAGGTCTCCACGTGAGCCAGGCTGCCCCATTGCCCTGCTGCCAGCTCCAGTTAATTCTCTGCCCGTCACTTGCTCCTTCGCCTGCATGGTTTCTGGGAGGAAAGAGCCACCGCGACCTGTTCGGGAGAGCCTTGTTTCTCCAGCCTTGCAGTCATCCCCCTTCTGCCAGTAATAAGCCAAATCTAACCAGAGATTCCTATTTAGGTCAACATAATGTAGAAATGAGAGAGAGGAAAAACGTTAGCCGAGGTATTTCTGTGCCTCTTCCTGGCTTCTGCAGCCTGTCAGAGATTCAAGCCTTGATTTATAGCAACCGCAGGGTGCTGATTATTGATCTGCAACCACCCCACCCCACTCACTGCCATTGAGAGATCCAGCCTACAGCAGCGATTCCCACACCTACACAGCTTCTTCAAGCGAGA